AGATGCGAGAGGCCTCTTGCCAGCCTATGGACATGAACCTGACACCAAGGATGGACATTGAACCTGATATAGCATATTTGCCGAACCCCAGCACTGCATACGCTACATGCCATTGTGCCATTTCCCAAAGAAGAGGGATGCTTTCAGCAGCTGTCCAACATTGCTACTGGGCAGGCACCCAATGGAGCCCTGCCAGCTCTGTTGGTTCTGGTGCATCAAACAGTCAAGAACTCTGTGCAGTTTGATTCTTCAGACATAAGCCTATGGCTTCAATATGATGCCTTTTCTGATTGCATGCCACTGCACAATCAGATTATTAACACAATACTGTTTTATCACATGATATTGCTTTATATATGTCCACAATATGATGTTTTCCCTAATTGAACGCTACTGCATGATTGGGTTATTAACAGAATACCACCTCATCACATGGTATCATTTTATGCGAGTGTCTGTAGCATGTTCTTCCTGATCATGCGCCACTGCATGATTGGGTTATTAACACAATACTGTTTCATTACACAGTATTACTTTATATGAGTGTCTACAATATGATGTTTTTCCTGATTGCGCGCTGCTGCATGATTGGGTTATTAACACAATACTGTTTCATCATATAGTATTGCTTTATATCAGTGTCTACAATATGATGTTTTTCCTGATTGCGCGCTGCTGCACAATCGGGTTTTTAACATAATACTATTTCATCACATGGTATTGCTTCATATCAGTGTCTACAATATGATGTTTTTCCTGATCGCGCGCCGCTGCACGATCGGGTTTTTAACACAATACTGTTTCATTACATGGTATTGCTTCATATCAGTGTCTACAATATGATGTTTTTCCTGATCGCGCGCCGCTGCACGATCGGGTTTTTAACACAATACTGTTTCATTACATGGTATTGCTTCATATGAGTATTTACAACATGATGTCTTTCCTGATTGCACGCCACTGCGCGATCGGGTATTTTTCTTGTTAGTCACTGAATATTGCCATTTGACAGTATTTACATCTGAAAGTGCTCTCCAGAGTGCATTTTACTCTTTTCACAGTGCTTGCAGATTTTTAATCACACAACCCACATTTTAACCACCAACCCCCCTCTAAAAGAAGAGTAGAATCATGTGACCCGGAGCCAGCGTCTACCGAGTGCTGGTCGGCCCAGCGGCTATCTTGTGCATCTGATGCGCCTGATGGTGGCGAGCAGTGATGGCAGATCATTCCGCCCCACGAACGTCAGACTGACGTCGGTGATGCGCTCAACGGCACATCAGCAGGCAGTCCTCCGACGGTCTGGATCCAACACGTGACGTGACGTCATAACTACGTCATCTTTTGGCCGCGCTAACTGGTCTTAAGTCACACCAACCTGGTCCTGCTGACCATCCCCATATAGTATGCCCGAGCCTCTTACAAGGTTAGAATGACAACGTCCGCTGATTTTGCTGAGGGCCAGCCAATCACAACGCGGCTAGTTATAATGCCCATTACGCACGTGTTCGACGGCTTCGGCTTCGGCATGCAGTGTCCATGGTACTGCCCCTCTTCGGGGTCCCATGGCGCAAGGTATAAGTACTTCCTGAAATGCGCTGATGAGTGTCACTACGAAAGCCTCCAGACTCTTTACAGAGTCAGACCTTCGCATTCTTAGTTACACTTCAGCATTCAAACCTTGGCAACTACGTCACCTCGGACTCCCCCAAGTCAAAACTGATTTGCATATGATCAAATAATTTTTGATATGTAGATATATGCTAGAGCCATGAATAAACCAAGTTTCAAGTTAATAGCTCATATATCAAAGGAGACACAGAGTTAGGCAGATTCCAGTCTGAAAGTGAACTGACTCTCAAAGTGCTTCTTTCAACTGAACATTTCTTCATTACATTCAGAAATTGTAACAGCATACAGAGTTTGAAAGCTTCACAAGCGCTAGTGTGAATGAAGTGAGATATGTTCGCTGAAGTGATAATCCTGCTGTCACTAGTGACTGTAGTGATGTACACTGAATGAGGAGAGTGCAATACGCATGATTGAGAAATACAAGACAGGCCTAGAAAGGTCAGATGCCTCAGGACACATCTTGCTTTGTTCGCACTGGCGCTTGCAGAGTTTTCGAACTCTGTATGCTGTAATTTGCCCAGGAGTGTCTATCATTCTAAGTATCGCTGTAATGCATGATGATGTATGCAAAAGTAAAAGGATATTGTATTTTTCACCACTTGTGCTGCAGCTTTTATCTTTTAGCACTCGTCTGCACACAGTAGCTGCCACTGGCAACAAGACCTTTGAACAGGGCCGAGATTATGAGAGGCATTGCTTCGACCAGCACTGCCTTTATACAATGGGCGGTGAGGTCTAAACATGGTGGCCACTGCTAGCGGTCATAATATGAGCTGACTGCAATGGAGTAGTTTTCAAGTCCGAATATATGCTCACCAGTGAAGAATGTGTAGTTAGTAAGTATCTTACAGGCACTGTAAGCATTCAGGAAGTGAATCAGTCTAGCATACTCATGGGTCTGTACCCTTCCATGCAGCCAAAATCAGGCATATTATAGGTCCAATTGATGGGCATCTGTACTGTTTTTATATATATCAAGCTTAAGTATTTTTACAATGAGTAGTAGGAGTAGTATGAATATTTTCCTACTTGCAATGCAGGAAACCAGCTCGATCAGGAAGCAGACCACCCAGTATGGGTTAAGTCCCCGAAAGTGCATCAGACCACTCTTAAGGTGTGACTGGGCAGCAAGCTCATAATATACTTTGCAGTTCATGATTGAGAATCATCAATATAGGAAGACTTGCAATATATGATATTCTGAGCACTCAAATATAGAGCAGGCTGAGCAGCAACAGAATGTAGGGCACATAAATAGAGTTAGAAAGCAGGAAGAGCACCAGCATCCAAATACAAGATGGAGTCTAGCCAGCTCTCATCACAGGAGAGGTATAAGTAGCTGCTGCAGTGACTACTACCTTTGTTTGAATACTTTTCAACTGGTAGAGCAGTACAAAAGGGAGGGGAGAGTCATTCCAATGTCTCAGATGGCAAGCACATACCAAGGGACCACACTCTCGATGCATATCATCACCCCCACAGCGCCAGTTACCTTTAAACCATCTCCTGAAGTAAGAAAAGCCTTTTTTAGTCCTAATGATGTCATTTTAAAGTGCACAGCAAACCATCGGATGCCACTAGTTCACTTGCACCATGACATCTTCCCAAGAGTGGAAATAGGTGGCCATAGAAGGATAGCGCAGCTGGCAAGAGAATTTAATTCCTAAAAATACAAAAACATTGTGAAGCGGAAGCTTATGGTACAGAGAAGTGATGTGTACAGAGTCTTGTGGGGTACGCCCAAGGTGTGTTGTATGAGTGCGCGTATCTTCGGAGCATGTACTTTGGGAGCCTCTGGGCTTCCAGGCAAGCTGGATGTCTGTGACAGACATTCAAAATGACTGGAATCCACAGATAGATGCTGGGGCTAGGAGCAGACAAGATATTAGAGGGGTGGGCACGGTGGTTGGGTGTGTAGAGAAGATGAGGTCGCATGCGCACACACGAAAGGCAGTCCAAAACAGGCAATTTGCAGATACGGCACACAAGTTTGGCCTCGATCTCACCCAAATCATGTCGGATAGTTCTAAAACTTGGAATTATAGTAGATGGAGCTCATATAAATGCTGTATTACAGCCGATCTCAGTACTATGCTCATATGTCTGTGGTATGCACAAGATATTGCGGGGTGGTCTGCTTCCTGGTCCGGTCCGGTACCTGATTGAATACAGTACTTGGATCGGGCGCGACGCCGCCGCGACCTCTGAAATCAGCTGCGTGCAAGTTTTGAAACGTGGCCGCCGGTGGCGGCCGTCTGTATCAACGAAACAATTACGCGTCGATCCAGGTGGCCGCCAACGGCAACCCCAGATATTAGCCCCGTAGCGTTCAGATGTAGCCGCCACTGCACATAGTGACTACGCAGCGTTTAGATATGGCCGCCACTGGCGACTGCAAATATCAGCTACGTAGCGTTCAGATGCGGCCGCCGCTGGCGGGCTTTGTCGACTCAGTCCGACATCTAACTACCGATGGATGAGCACTAAACGGCGAATGCCCCTGTTGGCTGTAAGAAGCCGTCGCAAGGCAGAAACTACCACTGATTACGAAGTAGTGCAGCCGCTATTCCACAAAAATAAACGACTTCAACTAATTTAGGCATAGAGTAGTGAGCTAGCCAACTTAAGCCTAGTTCAAAAGATTACATTCAGACGCCATATATAATACTGCAGGTGTCAGGCGGTATCCAATATTGGCAATATCGATCGCAATGTGCAATTCAAGGAGATCACACCACAGTCTAGCTCGATACAGTCTTTACCGATATGAAACGAAGAGACGCAGAGAGGCCATATATATGAACACTGGGAATCTATGCCCTCCCCAAGCACCGAAATCGAAGTAACGACAAACCAGCGACATCGCCAGCTGCCGCGAGAATGCCACGGCATCCTAACGAGTGGCTACCGAGAGGGCTAATGACTGCTGAGTCGTTCGCTGGCCATGTCAAAAAGATAGCAGATAATGCCGACATATCGGACAAAGAAGACGCGCTCGTCTGCCTAGCGTTGGGCGGGCGCATTAGTTCCCCGGGCGAGCCGGGCACCCTTCTCGTACAAGTCGTACCTCCAGCTTCCATCACGGGGCCGCCAGCGGCGGGCAGAATGCTTGAGGACATCATGGGCACCTCGGTGAAATTTCCCACACGGCATGGTTTGAACATATACAAATGTCCACCGGTCGCCCCGGACTTGTTCAATTGGCTCAATCTTACCAAGGACATCGACAACGCGGTATGTAGAAAGCTCCCAAACCCTTATAACCCTTATAAATATCTGATTGGTTTGCAGAATGGAACGTTTCCGGATATTCCTATTCACGAAATCCCTCACGTCAGATTCGGCTTCGCTAGCCGGCTGACTATCTGGCTATGTTTGCCAGAGCTATACTACGCCGGGGGTTCATCGCGAGTACTACTTCCTGACATATGGGACATTCACACAACGCTCTCCGCCGCCTTCACACAGTGCGGGACTGATCAAAGACTTCACCGACATGCTGCACCTACTTCTTTCTCTGAGTTCTTATCTCTGCCGCCTCTGCAGCTCCGCCGCTTCAACTCCCCAGTGGAGCTTCCCCCGCAGAATGTCGAAGCCTTTTTGCAGCATCTTCGAGGTGCTTTAGCTGTCGACAGCCGTTTCAAAAACAGCTTCTTCGCATATCACCTTAAGCCTGAAGCAAACCAGCTGTGCCACAATTATGACAGCGAGGCCACCAGAGAGTACGAGTCGAACAAAGCCACCGAACCTTTGGAGATGCTGATAACAAATGAAGATTTTGAGGGCTGGGTAGGAAGAGTTTCAGTCACTTTTCGCAAGGACAATCAAGCGTTGTTATGGCAGCCGCAAGCACTCGAACACTGTATCGACATGTTCTTGCCTCGCATGGACGGTTCAATGAAGGCCGAGCTCTCTCAAAAGAAGAAATCGACGTCGGGAGCTTTCACCTATGCGCTGGAAGACACTACCCTTGACATGTCACCCGGGGAGGATGGGATCTTGCGCATCGAATTCAAGACCCACACTGAGGCTGAAACAGCAAAACTCCCTGGCTGGAAAGTGTTCAGGCCAGAAGATACATTTCCGCAGCGCATGCCAAAACTTTTTGGAGCCACATTAGCAGCTCAGTCTCAGTGCTTCAAACTTGCTTCTCAAGCTTCTGGAGATGCCTCAGCAACTCTAGCACTTCACATCAAGCTCATTCACCTGCAAGATGCGCTAGCAGTGTTTCCTCAGCAAGATCTATTGCTGTATCAATTGCCACGCAAAGCCTGGTGGTAAGCAACTCTTCATATTGCACAAGTGCTACTTTAGAGTTACATTCCGTTTACCTCTTAGGGAATTCCGTGCTCTCCGTATCAGCGCTGTGCGGGCAGTGATGAAAAGGCTGTCCGACGCTCCGCCGGATGTTTGCATCTGGGAAGAATCACTAGCTCTGGGTGCTGTTTGCACCAGCATCCTCAACAGCTGTGTCATCCCCTCAGCTAGAGAGCAA